GACTTCTTGCAAGCATGGCGAGTCTTGCAGACGGAGCCGTTTGGCATGTCATAATGGAACTCGAGATCGCAGTCGAACTCGGGCTGGACAACAATGGTACCAAGAGAGAACTTGTCGACAACGGGGCCGCAGCCGAAAGATGGAGACTTGTTCTTCTCGGGGTGGCAAGTACCGCCGATGAACTTGCCGCTGCCAGGGCGCGAGTCGAAACGGCCCCTGCCTCCATCACTGCCACACTCGAAGCCCTTGAAGGTGAAGTCTCCGTAGTTGGCGAATGGACCAGGAATGAGATCAGCCCAGTCGAAACCCGTCTGCTGCTTGGGGGTACACTTGTTGTCGATGTTCTCGGGGCAGGTGAAAGGGGGAGCCTTCTTGAACTGTTTGGAAGTGTAGTGTGTTAGTGACCAGTCTAGGTATCAAAGATTGAGTCTATCCAAACTTACAGTGGCCTCTACGCTGGCCGCGAGGGCGATAAGGGGGATGTAGCTCTTCATGGTGAAGAGTTGTGTGTGTCAATATAAACAGTAGACTGATAACTGCTATGTTGGTGGACTGGCTGTGATCGGTATATCGGGCGAACCTTGCGCCTTCAAGTACGATGATGGCTTACGATAATGTCGCCTGAACGATTGTGTCGACAATGAAATCCAATGATGGTTGGAAAAAGAAAAGAAGCTTGAGGCAAAGAAGCGAATGACTTTGCCGTCGGTTGTTGGTTCGAGTAAGGTAAAGGAAATGCCACACCACAGAAGACTACTGACCGAGAGAGAGAAGAGTTGGAGCGGAGGGGAGGGTAGGACTCTGTTTATACCAACATGAGGGCACAACATCGGGTCCATGTCCCCCATGCAAAGGAGAGTGCATGTAACTGTTCACGGTGGAGAATCTGGCCTAGACACAGGCTGTGGGCCAACGAGACCAGCATCCCCTGGCGACTGCATCCACGCCCTGTGTCGTCGGCAACGGGGACAGCGACCCAACATGGCAACCAGTGAGGGCGTCGTGGGCGCTAGGACCCTTTGCTCCCTTTGGCGATGTGACTTTCGGCGAGGGGTGTCAAAGTTCATGAAAACAGTGGTCTCCACAGTGAAAATGCCCGACCGATGTTGCGCTGCTGTCTCTTGGTGGCGCGCGGCTCCAGGGGCGGCAGGCAGGGGTTCTGGGTAAACGACAGGGGTGCGAGAGATCTGGTCAAGGGGTTGGTTGAAAGCTTTTGAGCTGCTCAGCGAATGTGGCCCAATCGGTTACACAATTCAACGTCTGGATGGAAAGGGAATGTCTTACTCTCTCACTGTTGTCCTGTGAAAAGGTCAAGTTCAGGCACTGCAATTATAAATGGTTATGCATGAGCGGCAAGAGGCCTTCTCTTTGCCTCTGCTACAACCAGGAACATCTTCATGTCGGTAACCCTATTCCGACACGAGATAGTATCCATCTTCTCTGATGAATATTGATTGTTGAACATGAGCACGAACCCCTTTACGCCCTGTGCCTTCACCGTACGCAAAGTGATTCCAGTAAAAAACGGCAGTGATGAGCGTGTGGATGGAACCTTGATGGTGCGAGCAAAATGGGGGACTTGCCCAAAAGGTTGAAACAGGTGGCTGTCTGCTTCAGGCTGCTCAGCCACGTTCGAACGGTGACGCTACTGCAGGTACGAAGCCATTCCCCCACGGTGCATTTGGGCTGCAGCCATTGATTTCCAATTGATCCTCCCATCACTGTTCGACTTCTGACAGCCCTCACTGCTTCAGCGATGTTCCTGGATTTCCCCAGCGTTCGGCTTTGGGATCGTTGGCGAGCTGCCAGGGTTCCACCATCAAAACTCCACTCAACTCCCGGCCTATAAAACGGCCATAGTTCGTTATGCCCCGCAGTGAAGCTTTTCCCAAAACGATGCTCAATCACGGCCCGACTTGCTTGTTCAAGAGTGGCCCTGTTCGCGATCCCAAGAACTGGACATCTGATCTGCCCACGCTGGGAGTAACGGCCGGGTTTATCGATTACAAGAAAAGGGGCTCATAAACGAGCAATCACCTCATCTCCGTCTGCTTTTGACATCTTGCAATGCTGGGAATAACTTCAACAGAGCATTCACTGACTGACATGTCAGCTGAGCTGGTATTATTTCCGTAGAACAGGCCGAGTGGTATCCAGCGGGTGTCCGCGGAATCGAAGTGCCGCGTTTCACCTCACCCACCTGTCAGTCCGTTCTGGACTGGCGCCAGCAGTTTCATGTTTCAGGTCTGACCAGGCCATCAGAGTCTGGCTCGATGATTTCTGACCAATCACCTTGAACCGCTTTTCTCGGATTGAGGTCTCCACTGAATACTTTTCTCTTCCCACGGTGTCACTGACATCCAGAAGCATCGTGAAGTCAATTTCGCGGAAGCCAAACGACCATATGCACTGCGACACTGACGGTTAACTCACGGAGCGGCCTGTGCGCTTTTCACGATAGGCAAGACCGGATCCCAGACTGCCAATTCCCATCGCATCACCCGCTTTGACGACACAATGGAGTCTGCAATTTCAGTAACAGCTGTCACGAGTCCATCTGGCGTCATGAAAGAAATGATCCAGGCTTGCCGTACTGGTGCCGTTTTGGTCCCAAAATAGGACCGACCCAGCAAGAAATTCTCCGGTTGACGCTCGCCAAAATCGCGGTTCCTGGCCCACGAGGCGAATCGCCCCGTCAGATCGGGTTGATCGGCAGCCTCCGTTTCTGACAGCCACCGCCCCAGCCGTTGAGGCGTCTACACACTGTGTAGGAGCCGCTCAAGACGCCGCCTTCATTATCGACTCAGCTTCCAAAGCGCCCATCACAGACAATCTTCTTGCATATTCATGAATAGGCTCTTGCTAATAGCAAATGGTACGCTGGTAGCTTTGGTGTCCGGGCACTTGGACAAGAACTGGTGGGCGACCGAGACCTCAGCCAGGAATAGAGAATAAAAACCCCACAGCTCGCTTGGAGCACGCACTGCCAAGAACAACCATCGCTAGGCGTTTCTTTCCCAGTTCAGACAGACGCTTGCAACGATGGAGAGCCATGCCAAGAACACCCCCTGTTGGTTTCTGCTCAGGGGTTCCTGAGTCTTGTTTCGAGTTGATGCCATCACATTCGTATCCGGCGCTGGAACACACATGAACCAAAGCTCTGGCCACCGCAAGATTGTATAGTAGATGGCTTCGCTTGCGAAGACGAGGCTATATCCAGATATCGCCCATCAGCGAATCATTTGAGATGATCAAAGGCCCGAGCCATCATCAGTCAGTTCAAAGCGCAAAGCTATCGTGAACTGAAGAAAGCCCGTTATGAATGGGGTCATCGAATGCCCTGGTCAGGCCCGGTAACTCCGGAGGTCTGGTCAGGCCATGGCGGCGATTCGAACAAGATGGAGATCCTATGTACTGTACATCATGGCTGCGACTTCGGCATTTCTGATGTCATCATCTCTTGGGTTGGGAAGATCATGATCCCTCCCGGTTCAGCTCAGCCTGGATAGTACCAAGTCAAAGCTCCAAACAAGAACCCGGTGGTCTGGATGAAACAAGGCAACACCTCGCGAGCGGCGGGTGCGCTATACAGATATCCTTTTACCATCCTGCTTAACATCTTAATGCCCTTAAGAGGATCTTGGTTCCTGATGCGCCGGCCCGCTGCCCAGGTCGGTCAAATCGTATGTAAACAAAAGATGAGATTCTTCCTTTCCCCTTTCGCCACTGACGTGGACCTCGTTACATCTGACTTATTGGTCCTAGGCCATTGTTTGTATCACGCATCCAAAACTCCAGATGAACCGTAACGTACCGGTCAAAGCGGACGGCACGGCGCGGCGTAGCCCGATCCGACCATCTGGACTGTTTAAAAAGAGACGAGATCGATCGTTGAATCCCTTCCGCCATGGACTGTCAGGTGTTTGACGGGGGCACAAGTAATGGGGCACGTACCAGACGGCCAGCCTGTTACCCGGCATAGGAGTATATCACCGCCGTGCAGGTCTCGTTCCGGGTCTTCCTGCCGGCGCGGGTGGCGGGCCACGCTCTCACTTTAGCAGCGCACAATTGCCCGTTGATGATACCTCTGCTCTGAACGCCGGCCCGTTTCCGTCTGTTTTGGGGCATCTTACATCTACACTTTGTATAACCCTTGGCGGGTCTTGCAGGGGCGAGCAGTAAAACGACCACCGCCACCTTCACAGCAGAAGGACTGCCCTCATTATCAGAGGAAGTTGGTTGGTCTTGGGAGACTGCGTAGGCTCTCGATTTCATGTCGGAAAGTCTCAGACTTTTCGAGTTAAGGGTTTGAGATACCCGTGCCCCAGCAGCACAAGTCCGGGTTCCGAGTGCGAATAGTAAATGTCAACAACCCACACGCCCTTTTGGGTCAGGAAAGGAAGCCCTAACGGGGTTGAGCGTGGGGAGTAGCATTGACATCCCCGCCGGCCTTTTAGATGCCATATGCAGTGTAGACTTTGGGGGCGTATATAAGACCTCGAAACACTCCCTTCATTCGGTTAAGTTTGACCAAAGCAGTTCATAAACTGGATACGGGTTGGCAGAGGAAGGGGCAAGCAACGGCACAACGCGCAAGGCCGGATGGATGTTGCAGCACTTGGTCGTGAAATCAGCTTGGCAACTAGCTAGCATGAGCAAACCTAGGCAGGTCACTCTGTCGAGTAGTTCTGTGTTATTAACAGCTATCGACTAGAGGAAAGTGCATGCTAGAGGATAGACAAGTAAGCATAGGCATAAACAAGTCTTTTCGTTTCGTATTACAACTCTACTCGATAGACGGCCTTATTTTCAGACCAAATTGTGCCGACAGAAGAACCACTTGGTCTTAAGCCTGACACCTGGGTACCTAGGCAGGCACCTTCCCTTCCACCAAAGAACTCACGCCTCTCCTTCCTTCCTAGCCCTTCCTTCCTTCCCTAAAATCAACAGCATGCCATCATCGCATTCCCCGCTCCTTCTTCCAACAAGCAAACAAAAACTCCCATATGGTGTAGTGGTTAGCATACCAGGCTTTCACCTGCCTCTCTGATCTCAAATCAGGAGGGAATCTGAACCACCCTGGAGTCCCGGGTTCAATTCCCGGTGTGGGAAACAATATTTTTTTTGCCTTTCCCTTCTAGGTTTTTTTCTTTCTGCTTAGAATCAGTCCATGAAAAGTGTTTGGTGGTGGTGGTGAAAGAGGGTATGCCAAAAATGTGACATGCTGGTTGCAGGGCCTAATTCGCGATCATCCGATTTCCAATGAGGGTATTGTGATGACCTTTTTGCAGACTACGCTGTTGTCTATACAGAAAGAAGGGGGTGATCTCTTTTGGTCTTCTTTCCGAACATCGAAACTGCGATAATCGGCCCAGGAACTTCACTGAGGGTATGCTCAGATTGGGTTGTTGCAGTTGGCTGGATGGACCAAAGTAGAATACTGCGTCGCAGAACCTGATAGACCTTCACATATAGGGCTGTGATAAGTATTTTTCACCGGTTAATTTCACTTGATATTGAGATCACTTTTGTAGCTCAGGTCGTAACATCCAATACGCGGGTTTGGTCTATTATTATGCCACATCATCTACCCACTTGACCCCTATTGTTCAGAAAAAAATCTTCTAAGCACCGCCCTGCATCCTCCTAATCCTCTCCTCCGCCGCCCGCGCCCTCCGCTCTCTGTCCAACTTCATCCTCTGCTCAGGCGTCAACCCCCTCGTCTCCTCTGCCCTCTGATTCAACGGCGCACCTCCCAACACCCCCCCCTTCCTTGGTTTACTCTCCTTCACCACCGGCCCCTCCTTCTTCAGCCTTTCTTCCTCTGCCTTCCTCCTCTGCTCCTCTTCCTTCTTCTCCCTCTCTGCCCTCTTATCGGCATCCTCCTTTTTCAGCGCCGCCGGTACATGCGCGGCCTCCCAATCCCATTTTTGCTCGCCCGCCTCCGACCTCGCTACCCTGAACGCGTCACGGGTAGCACGATCACCCGCTAGGTCGAAAGGAGTTTTCCCTTCTGAGTTAAGAAAAGTTGGGTCGGCACCGGCGCGAGTAATCAGGCCTACTATCACAGCTGCCGAGTTTTGCGATGCAGCGAAATGCAGAGGGGCAGGAGTGTGGTGGTTTTGTTGTGTGTCTTTCGGTTGGAAGAGGAAGTTGGCGTCGAGGTGGTTACTTGTAAGATACGAAAGCAGCGCAGGGAGTTTGGACCGGCGGATGATGGATTGTAGCTGGGTGGTGTGAAAGAGGGCCGCTTCCTCCTCTTCCGAGAGCTTTGGCGCTGCCGGTTTAGATTCTTTCGGCTTGGGAGTCTTGGATGGCTCAGCAACCGGGGCTTCTGGTTCTGGTTGGATTTCCTTGACCTTAAGTCTGGTGAGCTCGATAAAAGACCGCATGAGTTCGTTCTGAGTTGCTCTTCTCGTGTTGAAAGGGAAGCCTCGGATACGAGGATCATTGGCGCGGAGCACTTGACCTTCGTAGGGGCCAAAGAGGGTCCTCCGGTTCGTCATGCCTGTTGCACGGATGAAGAGGAGGTCGGAGGTGTCGATCAAGTTCTTCCAATCTTTCAGGAGATTACGAACGTCTTCGACCAAGGCTTGCTCATTGTAACGACGGAGGGAAGAACCCGCTGAGTGAGCTGTCCCTTTGGCGTTGTCGTTTGCTGACTGAGAACCACCCTGTTTCCGACGAGTGGTATACCGATGGAACGTCTTGTGTGCCAGGACAACAGCTTCTCTGTTTAATGGACCCGTGGTCCCATGCTTGCTCTTCTTCGGCGCAAGCGAAACAACCATCGCCGCGAAGTGACCACCGCCAATCATACACATGAAGATGTGTTGCCCTTTGTAGGTTTCTGGTACGGACTGCGCGTCTTTTGGAGGCTTGGGCATGGAGATGGGCGCAAGCTGCCTCTTCTTGATCGCTTCCATAATAACATTCTCCTTTTCCAGTTCCTCGGCAGTGAAGAGAGCTCTGTAAATGCCGTAGTATGTTCTTTCTGGTAGCTTGGGGGACTCGAACCATAACAATGGTGCTTTGCCTGTGCCTCTCTTCTGTTTCGTGTCCACGTCGTTACCCTGGTCGTGTGGCTTGTGTTTGTCCGCTAAGGTAGCTTGTTTCTTCAACAATGCGGTAAGGGTAGTTTCTTTATGCCCTGCCTCCTCCTCTTCATCTTCGCTATTCTCCCCTTCGGAGCCTGAGATGCTTTCGTCAAGCTCGTCGACGAGCTTCTCGAACTCGGCCTCGGAGACTGGGTTAAGACCGTGGAGCTTTTGCTTGAGGTTGTAGTGGTGCAGGTCGGTCTTGAGATGCTCTCTCTGCTCTTGTACTGTAACAAACGACAGACTACAGAGGGAGCAGGCTTGCGACCCTAAGATATTGTCGGCCGTCGCGGGGCTTGGGGTTTGGACAGCAGTGGTCGAATCGTCTTGGACTGACAGTCCTTCACTGCCATCTGCATCCGTTTTGAGAGATAAAGTGTTGATGACATCTGGTGGGAGATCATAAAGGTAAAGTGGCCGTTGCAGCACCTCGTCTTGTGGTTTGGCCATCTTGCGCTTCGTTTCGGGGCGTTTGCGACCGACGATGAGGTAGGGGAAAGTCGGACGATGGATGCTTTGAAGAAGCAAGAGGAGTCGGATCGCACTGAATCAAACGACAGAAGGCGAGCGTGAGGATCAAGCTCACGAGCGTCTGAAATTTATTTCCCCTTTAACTGTAGCAGCATGCTTTCCATTCCGATCTTAAAATCAGCATTCAAAGCTTCATGAATGGTGGCGCGGGGCAATTCCTTATCGCAAGTGGTACGCCGATAAGAGTCATACCGAACAGTACGTCATTGATAAACCCCTAACCCTTGCAATATCGCTGAGAGGATGAACAGGCACGGGAGGAGAAACATTCACAATGGCAACAGATATTTCACGTATGATAAGCATTGACTACGGGCTGATAGCAAGCAGTGCTTCTAGGTCTGGTTGAGTGAACGAGAGGTGGATTCATATTGTAAAGAACTCATCTCTGAAGCACATCTCTCATTGGGACTCGGTTATTCCCCCCATCGGGAGATTTTCGACGATCAAGGCTTCCCTTTTAGGTCCGAGTTAGTCGAGTGAAAATCGAGAGGTAGGCTGTACATTAGCAGAAAGCTGAGTGAGATCGTGTTCAGAATCTAGACCAGCGAAGGCCTCAAGAACATCATCAATAGCCTGATTCAACTCAACATTCAGTTGTTTCCAACGCGCCTCTCGCTCAGGGTCAGTAACAGGTTCTGAAGAAGTATCCTTCCAGGCACCACACAACCGAGCCAGAGTCTCCTCATGAAGCTGTGGGGGATCTCGAACTATACTGACGACGGATATGTCCGACGAATGATTCGAAGTGGACGAAGTAGGCTTGGGACTGTCAGCCGGAGGATAAACAACGTCCTCGCTTAGCTGCCGCTCCCTACGCCTTCGTCCCGCCCACTCCAAAGTAGCATGTCGGATGAACTGAAGGCGTTCGAGATACTCGTTTCTCGTCTCTCCCTCAAAGCGTGGTAGAACTTTAGCGAGAGCCGAGAGATCATTACGAGGTGAGTGAACACGCTTGCTGGACTCTTCGATCGGATTAGACGACACCCAAAATAGCTCAGCATGCGGTACATACGAAGGATGGACGGCGTGGTTGACTCCACGCTCGGCCTTGTAGGACCAATACTTCAAAATGAGCCAAGGACAGGCCGTGGCAAGAGGAGCGTAGTGTTCCCGACACGCCCGGCAAAACCCGAACCTTGCACCTATGATGACCTCCGGGTCAACACATCGAACTCGGGTTCTTGACGTTGAAGTACACGGAACAGCGTGCTCGTCCACGTGTGTACACACCGTATAGACCTTGTGCTCGATCTGACACATTTTGATTCTGGTCAGGCAGTGCTAACTTTACCGCCAGGGTGAAGTCAGCCAAAATCGAGATAGGTTCGCAGGTGAAGCACGCACGAGTGTCGAAGGAAGTTGCCAAATGCGAACAGATGATGATTAGAGCGCATGCTGACCAGAATTCCCTTAAATACATGCACTAAAGCCTTCAAGGCCGAGCAATCAGCTGCATGCATTGTTGAGGAAAGCCATGGACAGAACCCAAACAATCGCTTTGTTCCATCAACACATCTGTCAATTGTTAGTGTCACAATTCCTGCTCGAAACTCGGGAAACAAATGAAGCACAACAGTATTGTTCTCTGTTGAAACAAATGACGTGAGGACTGTGAGGGAGCAAAACGGCAGGGGCTGTGCATGTCGTCGGTCGAAGCTTTTGGGGGCTCTTAATTCAAACGCGAAATCCAATATGGTCCTCGCAGCATTGACGATTCTGAAAAAGAAAGGTTGATGTTGATGTTGCCAGCTTGCTCATCGGGCCGTTGAAAGCCGAGAGGCGATGCCGCAGCCAAAAAATAATCATGAGGTAATCGTCGGTCAGCAAGTCTCGGCAGGCAACTCTCCACCACCATCGACCTCATCAAAGACAAAAGCATCCCAGGGGTCGGGAAATATTGATCTAGAAGCCGATATATCTAATGCATGAATATATGATCACTCAATCTCACTTAAGCATTGTGTCACGACTTACTCTTCCAGTCCAGTGCCAGCTTCTTCACGCCTCCACCGAGAGGCGGGTTCATCGTTTATATGAGGCACCTGTTGCTCCTGTCCTCAATCTTCATCGCACTTTTCGCTATCATCGCCATATACCTCAAACCTGAAATTTACCAGGCCGCTTCAGTCACTACAAGCACTTTAATCACTTACCTTTCAAATCTGACTTCCAACTCCAAGACCACTTCATCAAACCACCAACCCCTATCACCACCGTCTCAGATGAACACAGCCAAAGCAGCCATGTCTCGCTCCCTCCACCACGCCAAAATTTCCCCCCATCTCTCCTCGACAAGAGGGCACTCCGACCACGGCTGGCTCAACACCTACCACTCGTTCTCCTTCGCCAACTGGTACAACCCATCCTACACCTCCTTCGGCTCACTGCGCGTCCTCAACGAAGACCGCGTAAAGCCCCAGTCCGGCTTCCCAACCCACCCCCATCGCGACTTTGAGATCTTCTCATACATCCTCTCCGGCG